CCACCGCCCTGCCCCTCTTGGCACATTCCCAACTAGGAGTACTCTCTTTAGTGGCCAAATTCTAGGACACTTCATTGGTTCAGAAAATCAGGAGTTGGGGTTTTTTTCTCTGGTAATGAAGAGTTTATGGTCAGTGCTTATGCTAAGAGTTTTCTCTCTCCTTCCCCCACTCCCCACCTCTCTCTCTCTCTCTCTCAGCTGTAAAGGAAAGCTTCCACTGAGGAAGGGGGCCCTCCCACACCCTTCTCCCATTCCATGCTCTGGATCTAGGCGAAAAGGAAGATGCTGGATAATTCAGCTGAGCAAAGCAGATTCTCCATATGGTCTGCCCTGTCTCAGAAGGTCAGAGCCACAGCTCTGTACCCAGTGGCAGACAGAGGACAGGATTGGTGTGTTCAAGGGCACTCTGGCTTAGTATCACATTCACCCGCTTCTCTCCTGTCCTCTCCTCCCCGCAAAAGTAAGTAGCACAGGGCTAGGTATCCTGAAAATGTGCTCAGATTGCTAAAACGCGGCAGAGAAAAGTGCGTATGAAAGATTAAAGAGGAGCACAACCATTTACGCAAAAGGACATGTTTGGTTATATGACAATTGTCCTTAAGCAGAAAAAGGGCATGGCACCAGGAAATTGGAAGGCTGTTCTCAAAGTCTTATTTTGAAAGTAATGTCTAATAATATGGACTTGCTACAGGGTGTGAATGATTCTTTGAGGGGAAACAATTTCCCCAGAGTGCTTCTTAAAGGATGGGGGTGGAGCCTAGTCCTCTTCTGATAAAGTGTCTCTGTTCAAATCAGTGCAACTGAGGAGTGTTCGACTCTCGGTGGCTGTCTTGTCAGGCTGTGAGCCTGATGTATCTCCAAATGCCTCTGTCTGTCTGTCTCTCTTTTTTAAATTCTAGCTGCAGTCCTCATGCTTGACCTTGGGTAGGTTATTTTGATTCCTATTTTTTTAATTATTTATTTTTTACAATGTTATTAGTTTCTACTGTACAACAATGTGAATCAGCTATAAGTATATATATCTCCCTCCCTCTAGAGCCTCACTCTCACCACCCCCCATCCTACCCCTCTAGGTCTCTGTCTCTCCTAAAAGGACAGGGAAAGCTTAAATTTCGGGTGGCACATGTGCTTTTCACCACCAGGGTCGCTATGAAGTGCAGCAGAATTATGGGGGGATGCAGGGGGTTTATCTGCATCTGCAAAAAGTTAGCTAAGTGGAATTAGACTTTCTGTAAGGTGTTTTCCTGACTCAGGCCTGTCCCAAGCTGGCCAATGTGTCTTGAGGCCCTGGGCAACAATCCAAGTCCCGCCAGCCTCAATTGCTCATGGGGAACAGCAGTCTGTTTCAACTTTCTATGCTTCTTAAAGTGTTACTCTGATTAGACAGGAAGATAGCAGTCTGGTTAGCCCTATTACTATTATTACTCTGTCATGGTTATATTTTAAAATTATACTTTCTCTTTCCTTTGCCAAGAGTAAATGATAACATACATTTGCAACACATAGCCAACCAAAGCTGTGTAGGTTTTGCTCAGACAGGTTTGAAAATGTATTCTAGGCCCATTGCTGCCCAAATAGGAAGTCTTCCCCCATCCCCGGGTCAAAGGACCATGGTTTTTTTTTTTAAATAAGTACAAACTCTTTAAAAACATAAAATAAGTTTTATTATCGCTATAAAAGTAATGAATCTTGTTGTTTATACAAGTATTACTTGGAAAATACATAAAACTATAAAGAGAAAGACAGATATCATCTATAATACTAAAACCAAGAAATAACTACTATTAAATTTGGGTATATTTCTTTCTAGCCTTTTTTCTAAATACTGATACAAAACTATGGATGCAAAATGTTCCCAATATACTTATATTAAATATTCAGGAACATATTGCAAAAATAATTTTGCATCTTACTTTTATCACTTTATGATATCATAACCCACAGATAACCATGATATAATTTTTGGTTTCTTCCTGCCAGTCTTTTATCTGTATATTGATACAAAACCATGCATGCAAAATGCTCCCAATATATTTATACTGCATATTAGGAACACATCGCAAAAATAGTTTAGCATCTTTCTTTGATGGACTTTTGGTATCCGTCCTCCTAGCCTTCTTTCCATATAATAATATGACTATTGATACAAAACTATGAATGCAAAATGTTCCCAATACATTTAGATTACATATTAGGAACACATCGCAAAAATAGTTTAGCATCTTTCTTTGAACACTTTTTATACCACAGTTCATAGATAACCACTTTTAAAGTTTTGATACATTTCCTCCCAGCCTTTAATCTGTATATTGAAACAAAACTACATACAGAATGCCCCCTGTATGCTCAGATTGCATAGATGGGAAAGGTGCGAAAATTTGCTCATTTCTTTTATTGCTAAATACTTCAGCAGGAGCATATTCTCTTGCCACATATTAGAGGCACCATCTTTTATTTACCCAATCCTTTTTCATTGGTCATCAAGATGTTTCTAATTTCTATTCTTAAAAATACTGAAATGAGGGACTTCCCTGGCAGTCGAGTGGTTAAGACTCCACGCTTCCAATGCAGGGGGTGCAGGTTCCATCCCTTGTCAGGGAACTAAGATCTCACATGCAGCATGGCGTGGACAAAAAAAAAAAAAAAGTACTGAAATAAGCATCTTTTATGTATTCTTCTTCTGTGAGTTTTTGTTCATGGAGTTTTTATGCCTTTTCTTGACAACTTATATCAACAACATACTAAGGATGACCCTGTGTCTGTAGCGCTTATGGTTCGTGTTTTTTCAGTTGTTCGCTTGAGCATAAATTCTTTAACATTCTAGCATGAATATAAAATCTTATGCCTTAAATGAATGGCAATTCATTACAAGGAACTTAAAACAACAACTAAAGACACAAAGGCTGACTCCCCCCACCTCCCATTAAACTGTAAAGTACAGCTTGTCCCATTCCTTCCACCTCAGCAACCTCTTTCTTCCTCGCTCAAAACCCACTTTTTGATCTTTTCATCAACGGGTCTTGTAATACTTACCAGTTGTATTGCTGTGAAGATGAGCGGCTCCCAGACCTTTCAGTTATCAATCTGTCACAAGTGCACAGTGGTATCTCGTGACATGATGATCCCCGAGATGTCTGAGGTCTGTGCATCCTTGACTCAAAACTGCTGTATCATCTGTGACCCCTAAAGACTTTTTAGAGAATTATGTTTGACAATGTAACAAAAAACACAGTATAACAAAAAACACATGGAAAAGCAGAGAAAGAACTTCGGCTGGAATCCCACCATCTTAAGCAACAAGTATGTTTGTTTTGATGTTCTTTCCAGTTTCTGCTCCTACATAGACCCCCCCTTGTCAATTGTGGTGTCCACATGATTCTATGTCTGTGATTTCTAAAACTTGATATCATAAGTGTTTTCCAGGTTTCAACACAGTCTTTAAAATTATTATTTGAAATGGCTCAAAGAGGTTCCACTGAGCGAGTGACTACATTAAGTTAACTCTTATGGTTGGACATTCCATCTCTTTAAGATTAATTTGGTTGAATCTTTAGAAAGTATCCAATAAAGGTCAGAGACTTTAAATGATTTTCAATCACACTTTTTTTTGGCTTGTGCGTACTTATGTGTATACACCCAGGTTATTTATTGTCACTATTTAGCCATCCAGGGGCCAATCTTGGGCCTCAAGCAGGAATTGTCCAGGGCAGAGGGAAAAGCTCATCAGACAACTAATCAGTTTCACCTCTAATTTTTCTAAACAAGCAAATTCAACTCCATTTCCTGCTCTAGTCACTACTGTGTAGTTGGTTCTGATTAACAGGTAATGAAACAAGACGGACAACATGAGCTCATGAGGAAGAGGCCCCAGACTAGCCTCAGACCCCCATAAAAGCCTCAATCTCCATAAGCCCCAGGCTTCTTGGCAGCAATTGCTTTTCTTGATGTTTTATCCTATCTATTTCTTGGGGTTGTTGCAAGTAGAAAATATGAAAACTTTTGAAAAAGCATGTAAAAGCACAATTTTTTTTTAAAAAACAGGAAAAATGTTAGGATTATTGTGTTTCTGATTATTGCAGTTTTTGTGGCCAGGACTTTAAAATGTCTGGCCTTGGGACAACAGTCTGGTTTGGAGGGCAGGTCAGGATGGGTTAGGGGACAGGTGAGGGAGCTGCTTTGAGAGAGGCATGCTTCAAAGACTTCGGACCTCATGGACACTGCTCTGTTCTCAGCTCCTTGACTAACAGCAGCGGCCAAGCCAGGGCCGCTGACCCCCACTGGCTGCTCAGACTCTAGAGCTCACTGGCCTAAGTGCAGCACTCCAAGGCTGAGCAGCTGCCTGGAAATGGAGGTCTTGTCAGGGCTCCTCCCCAATGGTTTAATTTACTATCCCTACAGGGGTCTATGTCTTTTTAAACTTGCCAAAGAGATCACTTTTGGAGCAGGGGAGGGAGGTAAGGCTGTAGGTAGGTGAGATATTATGAAAGAGCTAGCAGATTTTTGTTCATTTACTGAGCAGTAACTAATGGGAAGGATGACTGGGGTGTAGAATAGCAGGGAGATACACATTTGCTATAATTGGTGCATAGATCGATTTTCTTTTAGGAGTAATGTAATCATTCTAAACACAAATGCATATCAAGTTTTAGGGTTATGAGGATAAGTTACACTGTAGGCCAATGGGAAAACAGGTCTCTAAAAATTTACTCCAACTTGGATATAGCCCCCAACTCTAGTCTTTAATTCCTATTTATAAACTTTCATTGATTTTCAAAAAAATGCTTTTTGGACCTATTTTTATTTCCATCTTGTGCAGTTTCTCAGGAAAGCTGCCTAGAAGTTAGCTCACACCTGTGTAGGATGACTTTTTCTCCAAGTGTTGCCCTGAGCCTGTTCCAGGATTGGGTGAACAAACCCAGTCCCTTGCTGCCCCATCTGCCTTGATGATTTGATTGGTATCGTGTTTTTAAAACAATCAGCAAAATCATTTGCACTGCAGAGTCCTTAGTAGGTCTTTTTAATTGGACAGTTATTCATATTAATAAAAATCAAAAGCAGCATACAATCATTTAATGTCCCAGCACTGGAGTATATCCAACTGTTTTCCTCTTTGGGGTTCCACTTTAGTCACTGTCTGTATGCATGCATAAATTTTTACATAGTTGCAACCACTGCTTTTTTTTTTTGTAGCTGTGGTTATTGGCATCTAGTTTTCCAAGTAACATTGACACACATCTGTTCAAATCAATTGACGTTCCCATCATGACTGACTCATTTGGCGGGGAAAACAAGTTTACATGCCAATTGGAACAAAGAAGCATGGGTATCAGGGAGCAGCAGGGAGAAAGAAATGGTGGGAGAGGGTTATTTTGACTTACAGATCATAAAACATTTTCCAATAACATTTTTAAAGGATGTATAATATTACACTGAGTGATTGATTATATTTTATCCCATGTTGTGGGACATTTGGGTGGTTTTCAATACCTAGTGAGTTTAGAATGCATATAAATTACAGGATTTGAGAGATGACTGTATTTTCTTGAAACAGAAGTCTTCTGTGTCCAGATCCGGGCCAAGAGTGTTGATGCAGTGTTCCTTTGTTGGAAAAAAAGTCATTACTGCTAACTGGAAATGCTGGATGCCTTCAAAAAATATCCTTGTGATTAAAATAGTTTAAGTTATGTTCAGTTCTAGCTTATAAATGTAACCTATATATCTTGTCCCACAACTTACAGAAATGTGGAATTTTAAATTTAGAGCCTGACTAAACTTTTCCTAGTTTATGGGCCACATCTGTCTAATAAACTTAATACAAGGCTGTGTGCACGCAGCTTCCTAACAAATAACATGTGCTGGGAAAAGATGAGAAAACAATGGAAAGGTGCCTCCTTGAAGGTGGTAACATTGAATCAATTGATCTGCTGACTATAAGTGGATTCCTTTCACACTCCCACACATTATGATGCATATTTAGCAACGTTGAAAAACAATTTGAATGAATACCTTAGAGAGTTAAAGAGAATTTATAGTCTGGAACGAATTGCCATCTTCTTAATTGACACGGAAATGTTTGGCTAAAATATTGCTTTATTCACATTTTTGTCCTTGGAGGAAAATCTAGGCACACTGCAACTTCGACTGTGTGAATAATGGTGTAAGATGACTGCTTTAAGTCAGAAAAAGGGCACTACGCAGTCCGAAGGCTGTGTGGACGCCCTCAAGCTCGATGCCTCTTGGGGGCCTGGGGCCAAGGGCCACAGCGCATCTGGAAGGCAATGCCCCCAATCCGGATCGTGGCTCCCACCCTCCGCCACTTGCAGTCCCCAACCGGCCGGGTCTCTCACCTGGGTCTCGCTGGAGGGAGCCGGAGGGCGCGGGCACGGTCCTCCCGTGGGATGGGCGCTGGCTGCTGCCAGGCCTCCTTCTGGCTCGAGGGGACCCGTCCTGCGCAGGGAGAGAGGGAGAAGATGAGAGGCGCGGGGGCAGTCTCGAGGTGCCTTTCCCACCCTAAGCGCAAAGCCAGGCGGGAGCGGGAACCTGTTCGCCGTTCAGGCCTCGGGATTGCGGGCCTGCGGGGCCCTGGGCCGGCCGCGAGCCAACTCTCAGGGTTCGTGGTCCGGGATCGAGGCCGGAGCGGGACAGCGGCGGCCGTGGGGAGCCGGGTTGGCCCCAAGCAGCCGGCTGGCGGCGCCCCCGGAGCCCGAGGGTCCTCGGCGGCCGGAAGGGCCCCGACCCGCCCGCGCCGGCCTCAGCGCAAGGGAGTCTGGGAGAGCGCGCGTGGGGGCGGCGGGAGCCTGAGCCCCGGCTGGGGCTGCCTGGAACCCCGGGCTCCCCAAACCCGACCTCCTCCTGCTCCTCCTCCAGGGGTCCCACTCCCGGCCCCCAGGAAGACAGTTCCAGGCAGCCCGTACAGACCAGAGGGGTTTTCACGTCTTTGGTTTCTTTTAGGATGACAGAAAGCGTGGCAAAGATTCCACACCTCTCTCTGTCTTTGCCAAGAGTCCTTGACCTGCCCATGCGCTGGATCAAACCAAAAACCTAAAGTGATTTTCACAGGCAAAGTGTGACCTCAGCCAGAGAATGAGTCTTCTCTTTTCTAGGCCGGCTCTCAAGCTCCTAGCCTAGACTGGGGGGGGGGGGGGCCCGCAGAGTTAGGGGTGGAGAAGGCTTTCGAGGCCCACTGGCAACAGTGCCCAGAGTTCGGCAGGCACAGAGGGCCCCAGAGTCGACAGCTCAGGGGCTGCCATTTTCTTAGGAGCTGTCCAGCCAGTGCCCTGCCGGCGGGCCAATCCCTTGTGGGCGACCGCGGTGGCCTTGGGGCAGCGCCTCCAGAGTGGAATTCTGGTACCCGATTTTGGGAGATAGGGCAAGAAGCAGCTTGAAACGCTGAGCCTCATTCCATAGCCACCCCCTCGGGTAACCTCGCTCCCTGCAGGCCTCAGAACACTCAGGTCAGCGCCTGTCCACGAGGCAGCCTGGGATTCACCGGTGGGCCAGGCCCTGCGCCTCGCCAGATCTCGACAGAAGCTCCCCTCAACAGAGACAGGGAGAAGAGTGGGGAAGGTGTCGAGAAGGGGCCAGAAACACTCTCTTTCCTGGACTTCAGTGTCCCTTCCACATGCAGGACGTGAGTCATTTACCAGGAGCTGCACTGCGGCCTGGCGACTGCTTGCAATGGGTCACCTTAAGGCTTCCCCTTATTTCTTTTCCAACTACTCCCCTCCTCGCTGCCCCACATCATTTAGTTGCTGAGACTTGAAGGTAGTCTTTCTTCGTTTTTTGTCCCGTGAGTGGTAGCCTAGGTGATCAGGAGGGTTCTCCGCCCCCCCATCCTCGTTTAAATTTTACCAGGACAGGGAAAGGAGTGCTAAAATGCAGTTTCTTTCACATCGATTCAAAGGCGGGCAAAGGTTGGAGCGAGGACAAACGCGCCTCACCCGGGTCTCGCTGCCGGAGCAGACAAGGCGGGCACCGGACTAGGACTTACCTGGTGGGTGCGCTCGTGCAGGAGTCCCAGCCTTGCCCGGGCAGCAGAAACAATACTCCAGATCACCGATCGCCCACTGCAGTACTGTTCCCGCTGCTAGGGCACGGCTGAGTGTTTGCACAGCAACCCCTTTCTCGGTGCTCGCGTGGCCCCGACCATCCCCAGCCCCCAGCCCCCCGGGCGAGCAGTAGCGCTCTCCTTGGATTCTGTCGGAGCCTCGTGGGAGATGAAAGGGCCGAGAGAAGAGGAAGAGAGATGCAAGCCTCCGCTCACCTACCTGTTCCAGAGCTGGCCTGAGGAGCCGGTGCTCCGCGGGAACGCATGCACGTCTAGCAAAACCCCACCTTCCTACTTCCTCGCAAGGGGGTATAGCAGCGCCTCACGTTTTGAACCATTTAAAGCACTTCAAAACATGAATTGCTGCTGCATCCCCTCGGAGTCAACGAAGGAGGATCGCTCTGGGGTACCTGCAGGTGGAGAAAGACAAGGTGACTGGAAGGAAGACCCCCCGCCCGCCCGACGGCGAGGAATAAAGCAAAACGTCAGTCCAAATCGACATACTTTTTAGAAATTTGATTTCCAGGATCAGCAGGTGGAGTGAAGAATGTTACTCGATTTCTTCTTTTTTTCCCTCAGAGGATGAATCTTGGAAAAGTGTAGTGGTGAAAGGCAGAGGGCTGAGGGAGAGAGGAATTAGGGTGGGAAAGAATCTTACTTCTGAAGGAAAGAATAGTAAGAAAAGAAATTGAGGCAGTTTGGCAACATCTGGATCACTCTTGCCTGCTTCAAAGTCTTCCTGAAACTTCTTCCTGGTGTATGTTATAAATAAGCCTCACTCAGTGTCCCCACTAAAAAAACAATAATTTTTCGTTTATTGACTTAAAAAAGATCACCAAAATGTCTCGTGGCTTCAGCTGATTTTAACATATATGATGGTTGGGAAATACAGATCCATCCCTAGAAGCATGAGATGTCCTCTTGAACTCACCAGTGCTTCCTTATTACAACAAACACCCTGCCTTGACTTCTCTTTAAAGGTATTAAAGAATGAGCGATAACTGTTCTGAGATGAAATATCTGGATGTTTACATATGAAACTAACTCAAACTTATTCATAAATAATTTGTCCCTTTTAATATCAGCTATCAAAACACAAGTCAAAAAGTTTAAATACTTGATGTCAGATCAGTCCTTCTTGTCTCAAGCAGTTCCCCAGAAATGCTTTCCCGTTCTGAAATGGCCGGCACTGTGCATACTCCCTAATGATTAACTCATTACATACCGCTTTTTCCTTTTTAAAACGGACACACATTAGCAATAAGTTACACGCATCCTTTCCCACAGTGTTTAAACGGAATAGTCAAGTAGAAGGAAATAAATCTGTAACTCTCAATCACAAACCTGTAAGTTAAAACAACACAACTAGTACAAAATGCTAATGGTTTTGAAAGTTAAAATACGTTTTGATACAAGTAATAGACACGACAAGTATTCACGTCTGTTGAGTGTTTTGGTTCATTTAAAATTTACATCGGTTTTTTAAAACAAGTATAATGGATGCTGTGTCCTGTTTATTAGATGATAAAACGTTCAGAGTATTCAGTGAGACTAATTACAAAATTCATAACACCAGACTGAGAACCAGTGTTACCAAACGCACTACTTATGGTAAACTAATTTATTAATAACTCGTTCCCTAAATTGGGACATACATTTAAGTGTCTGTAAATTCCATCTTGTTTTGGCTATGCTATTTACAAACAACTCTCACTTTTGGGATTAATGGAGATAAACGTCCTTGGATGGCCTTAAAAAGAAAGAAAAAAAAAAACATGTTTAGCAAATGTACAGTTTTACTTTAAAACTCCACAACCTTCTCCCAATGAAATATTTATGCCCCACACAAATATGAGAACCCTCACATCAGATATTAAAGTCATCCCTCATTTAACATTTCCTTAGTTGACTACTTAGAAAAACAAAAGTTCATTCGAAATAGCAATGGTGTCAAAGGCGAAGGTCCCTTCCAGATTGCTCTGCCAGCTCACTGGAATCGAATTCATTTGTACCTGTCATTTAACCCATTTTTTCTCTCCCAGTGACAGTACAACGACTTACATTCCTAAAAAGCCACTTCACTCCCCTAGTTTATGGATTTCCCCTTAGATTAAAGTTTACTTACGAAAAGAGATTACAAAGAGGCGTCTTGTCACTTCAGAAGAGAGTCAGTCGCTGATACAATAGACAAAGAATCGATACTTTCGAGTTGCCCATGGCCCCACCCACCCCTTCTGAACTGAACTGTGTTGGGCCAAATCATTTAAGAGCCAAAGAACGCGCCTCTTCCACTGTTCATATTTTACAACGTTTTGTCTTAACTTTGCAGATGCCTTCTTCCCCCCCCCCCCCCCACCACAAACACCATGTACCTTCCCTTGGCTCATTCATGCCGACTTTCCCAACGTCCTGTTTCCTACAGGGAAAACTAAACAACCTTGAAAGTTTTAGTTGGGAAAAGACAGTGCAAAACTAATCACCCATTTATTTCCAAGACATATTTTACGGCTTACAAATAATAGCCACGAAAAATTCATGTACAGTCCGTCAAACCCAGTGGATCCCGACTCTAGCGAGGCTGACAAGTGGTCACAGCCCCTTACTCGATTTTCTCCCCCCACCCCTCCATCTTAGCTTTTTCCAGCCCGTTTCCTAAGAATTCTCCCAGCCCACTCATGTGTCTGTTTCGTCCGCACCCCGGCCCCCCAACATGCTTTACAATCCCAAAGCAGAACATAACTTTTTCAGCGTGGTAACTCGCTTTTTTTTTCAGTCTGGCGTAACCAACGTGATTAAAGGGAGAAATACCAGCCAACAAGTCCCTTTTAAAAAAATCGCATGTCACCTCTCGATCCACTCGAAAATGGCGCCGAAATCGAAGAATTTCTTAAATTTCATTGTCAGCTTTTTGCAAAGGTTTCTGGGATTTTCCTGCGAAGCTGCTTCGCCGCGTCTGAGAGCTAGCGAACGAGCAAGCAAGCAAAAGAGAGAGGAATGGAGGGGGTGCGGAGGGGTGAGACAGACAGCGAGAGAGCGGGGCCCGGGAGGGGAGCGGGGTCGGGGCTTGAGGTGGGCGAGGGCGCGGGGAGCGAGGGACCGGGTCCCGAGCCATAGGGACCGGAGCCGGGCGCGGAGAGGCGGGAGCCCGGGGCCGGGGTTCAGGGTGGCGGCGCGGGAGGGCGCGCTCCTGCGTTGGCTGCAGCCGAAGCTCGGAGAGCGGCGTGGCGGAGGCGGAGCGGAGCGGAGCGCGGGACCGGAGCCGCGCGCACCCTGGGAGGCAAGCTGGGCGGCCGGCGGAGAGCCTCCAGCAGCGGCTCTAGAAAAAGCCGGCTCCGGGGGCGTGGCCACGCGGCGCCCACGCCCCCCCCTTCGGCGCGCAGCTCCCGGCCCGGGGGCGGAAAGGGGGAGGGGAGGTGGGGAGGGCTGGGGTGGGGGGGTGTGTGTGTGTGTGTGTGTGTGTGTGTGTGTGTCGGCTCTCCACGCCTCAACCTTGGCCCGCAGCCGGGATGGGGCCGAGAAGGGCACGGGGCATCCAGTAGAGCCGCTACAGAGTCGAAGAGCCGGGGTTCAGGGAGAAAAAAGAATGGGACACGGCAAAGCCACGGGCACAGGGTCGCGCGGCGCGCACCCAGATGTGCAGGACGGACGCCACCCCGCGCCCACTGGTCCCCTCGCGGTACCCCCTGAGCTGCCCGTAGGGAGCGAGGTGACTGAGCAACGCCCCTGGCGCTGTGCCGGCTGGGGGTGCCTGACTTGTTGGGAGAGGAAACGGGGGGGGGGGGGTGCTTCGGGCCGCGTGAGCGTAGCGCTTTACCCAAGAGTTTGAGGCCAGCCCAGTGGGGACTCCCCTGCCCACGCCACCCCTCCAAGCCCTCGGGGAGAGCGGCCCCGGGGCGGGCCCCGTACTTGCAGGCCGTCCGCTGGGGGCACGGAGCCCGGAGGATGGAACAACTGTCTGCACACGTCCCGGTCCAAGAAGGGGAAACAGTTTTAGGACTGACCCGGGGCAACAGGAGGGAAATGAGCCCTTATTGTAAATGCTAACGGCTGTTAGGGACGGAGAGTTGATTTTCTTCGGTGAGAATAGTGAGAATAGTATTGAAGGTAAGTAGGAGGATGCACTTAGAAGATGAAGGCTGGAGTGGAGAGGTGAAATGTCACCGTGTCTGCAGTTTTCAGATGATACAGCCTACACACGCACACATTGTGCCAGACAGAGGAAGCGAGTGTTATAGTGTGTTAAGTTGTTACATCCAGGTGGGGGATAAGTGGACGTTTGTTGTACTGTTCTTTCAACTTTCCTGTCTACTTGCAAAATGTCATAATAAAAAATTTGCGAGAACTCGCTCTCCTCGTTAAAAAAAAAACAAAACAAAACAGCGCCTGAATGCTGTCTAGGAAAAGGAGCGCGACTCCTTTCTCCCTCCCTGTCCCGGGTGGGACAAATCTGTCAGCACACAGGGCTCAGACCAGCGAGTTCTGGACGGGAAGGGCAATGGGTAGCGCTGGCCGGCAGCGGCCACCGCCCGGGACACGGGACGCAGGCCCGGAGGCACCTGGGGGCCTCGGGGCAGGTGGGCGGCCGGGGGCACAGCGGAGGAGCTGCCGAGCGCGCCGGTCTGGGCAGGGGGCTCCGCGGGCGACTCAGCCAGGCCGGGTGCGACTCCGACTCGCTGGGCTCAGCTCTGCCCAGCCGCCCGCGCGGCGGACGGACTAGAAAACGGATGCCGCGGAGAGCTGGAGCCGCGCGCCTGACGCCGCTGCCGCGGCCCGGGTCCCCCACGTTCACCGAGGGTGGCCAGGGCTGTAGCGGCCTGCGCCCTGCGCTCGGGGTGGTGGGGAATCGCGCGCTGCACTGGAAAAAAAATCAGGTGCTGAAAAAAAAAGAGCAACACATACACCACACACACACACACACACACACACACACACACACACACACGAAATCAGTATACAAAAATAAAACCAAGGATTCTGCCTTACTCGGCGCTCAAGTTTCTTGAGCTACTTAACTCTCGCATGCATTTTCCTGAGGTTTCTGGAGCGCCGATGTCAACTCTTTAATTTCTTTGCAAGGGCGATCTCGCAGACCCGAGGCGCTGCAAGTGCTGCGCGGCCTGTCCCTTGCCTCTGCGGCTGTTTTCTTTATTTTTTTAGAGGTGGGGGGCGGGAGGGAGAGTAGACTCTTCCAGGGTTTGCAAAACTATTTTCAAAAATTAACCAAAAAGATTTTACAGGCCGAGGTTTGATTTTCAGGAAAGGTTTTAAGACTGCAGTGACGTGTAAGGGTTTGGT